ATCTATAGGAATGTTGCAGAGTTCGACCTCCAAAAGATAGAAGAAAAGGCTGTAAAATTTCATACATGGAAAAAAAAAAAAAAAGCAACAAACAGCATAGGATTCTTTGCTTACTAGAAAAAATAAGTGAATTTTAGAATTGAGGAAAAAAAGGGACTTTTTAAATAGAATTCCAGTTTCAGAAGGGATGATATAGGTCATAAGCTGCAATATGTGAAGTTAGTCAGACAAACCTGAAGATTGCCATAAATTAAACACATAGGTCTCGCTGAAATTAACGTATCTTATTTATTTCCAAGGAAACTGTAATGGATACAAAGGGCACAATAACACTGTTTGGTAAAACAAATTCTCAGCTACAAAACACTGTTTTTCTGCATAGTCACCAGCATTAGCTATGCATTTTTGCCAGCAAATGATCAGTGATCAGATGTGATGGCTTGTCTAGGTTCTGGGACATCCAGAAGGATCGCCCCTTTCCTTTCCCAGAGTGCAGTGCACATCAGTTTACATGTCACCACTCCATGGACTGCCATTTTGATTCTGACTCATATCTGTGACACCATGCCTCATCACTGGTAATTACATGATGTAGGAAACTGTCACCTTCAGCTTTGTGTTGGTTCAGTGGGTCCTGACAAACTTGCATATGGTGTTCTTTCTGTTCCCCATGTGAAGCATTTGTGAGACCTACTTGGAGCAAACTTTGTGATATTCCGGTGTTGCCACCATGGTTTCCAATGCATTTATGCCAATATTCATCTCCATATGCAGTTCCCTAGTCGTAACCCACTGATTCACACGGCTGAGCTGATCAAGATGCTGTTCATTTCATGGTGTGACAGCTGCAGATGGCTGGTCTTTCACATTGCTGTCACCACTGCTGAAACACGCCATCCACCACCTCACAGTGCTCACGTCCACTGTTTGGTTTCCAAAAACATGCAAGAAGCGTCAGTGAATGTCAGTGCGTGCCGGTTTTTCCACATGAAGGAGTTCAGTGACACACCTTTGCTTCAGACACACTTCCATGTCAGACACCATTTTGTCAAAGTGCCCTTCGACTGCCGTCTGTCGCACGGCAACAAAATGTGACGGAATGTTGGTGGGTTCAACCTCTACTGCCACAGCAACAACATCTCCCTCTGATGTCATGGGCCAACATAATAAAATAGGAGGCATTACTTTCTGAGCTGCCCTTGTACATCTCTGAGTATTTTATGCAGGTTTAACCTTCACTGATTTTTTTTTTTTTTAATATGGAAACCTATTAGTAACATTATTAAGATTATTAATTTATGATAATTTGTATTTAGGAACATAATTGCAGCTCATATATTGGCAAACTGAAAAGTGAGAAAATTATATCAAATAATACTCAGCAAGCTTTATGTTGGAATCCCTGTGCTTAATATAAGCTGAAACATGAATGAAAGAAAGTAAATATGTCGCTTACATTTTCACTTGACACTGACTGGACATGAATTACAAATACATTGAAGGATATAATGGAAATACAAAATAATCTCACGGGTAATTGACAGTTCTAAATGGAGTTTAAATTTAGATAAATATTACATAATGCATTCAAGACAAATGGTATTATATAGAAGCATTGTTGCTACAGAATGCTAGATAATGTTTAAGCTCTTCAGCCCTCACTGTTCCCCCTCCAAGTCACTTTTGAGACATAAGTAGATGGAAATCTGCTTGTAGCGTGGCTGGAAGGGGACACAGTATGATCCTCTCTAAGTGTGTTCTTATAATCCCTTGATTGTGGCTCAGAATCCATCTATATATGTACCAACACAACCAACCAGAGAAGAAAAAAGATACCAGTAGCAGTATCAGTTGTCCCACAGTCTAGAAAGCTTAGGTTTTCAAAATCTGACACTAAAGGGAGTCTAAATGAAGTTTCTACTAGTATTAGTTACGCAGTTAATCAGTGGTTCTGCGGCCCTTATTCAATTATGATGTAGGCTGTTATGCTTACAGGCTCCACATACCATACCAGTGCTATGTCTGAACTTGTGGCTGTTGCTGTGGGTTCATTTTTTAATGTAAGTACAGCCTGATTCCTGTAACAGAAATAACTGTGAATGCATTTAGGACTACAGTGAACTCATCAGTTAAGTGGCACACGGTCCCTCAAAATGTGAAGCTCAAAAAATGCCAATGAAAAAGCTGAAAAATTGTTTGAGTCTGACAGAAATGAGTGTGCAGAAATAAAAAAAAATCTGACTATATGATTGCAAATTGAAACAAAAAATGCCAATTAGTAAAGTATCCTGACACCAAGGTGGTAGAAAGCAAATAGCACTCAGTGAAAAGCACGTGTTCACAGCTGGAATGCACAGCTCTGTTAGATATAAAAGCCAGGCTCTTCCCATTTCTTCTGTTCTTTCTCCATTTGCCATTATTGTGCTGGTGCCCACTGAAGAGGCCATTAGGGAGATGTCTCAGCATGGCCATGTGCACACATTGCTGTTTGGCTGGCAGAAAGTCTGCTTGGGAGCATGGACACTGGTACTGCTCTTCTGTCTCTGCTTTCCTATAGCTCATGCTGCCTCATCCCTCTCTGCTGTGGATTTTTGGAGTATCTACAGCACACATCTCAGCAACCACCCCATCCTGATCTGCTAAGGCTCCTGACTGCCGGTATGAAAGCAGCACAACAGCAGGAATTGATAGGTTAAAAAAAATGAAAGGTCTGAGTAGCCAAGCAAGGCACCGTTTGTTTACCTTCTGTTCCTGTGTGTTCCTACTGTGGCTTGCTTCCGCCCAGCTGCATGTGGCCAAGCATCAGTAGCTCATTATCTGTGTCTCTGTTCAGTGCCTCTGCCACTTTCATACACGCTTAGACAGGATGTGTCATTTGCTTCTTGGCTATAATACTACAGAAAATTCACATCAATAAACAACTAGCAGTACAGTTTTCCAATACTGGTCATTTAGTGTATTAGCTTTCAAAATGTCTACTGCAACTGTGACAATAGCATTAGACTATTTTTACATGAGAATTGTCTGGTTGTTCTGTGATCACAATAGGATGATCAGAGTCTAGTTTATCCATGTGCAGACATTATTGTCTCATAAAACAGTGTCCCAGTGCTATGATTGCTTCATTAGGTTTATGCTACATAGACATAATTATGCAGGAACTAAGAATAGCTCAACTAATTGAAAATAATGATTATAGAGAAAGAACAGTTTTGATTACTGTTACTAAGCAAGTACATACCGTACAACCATTCATGAACTGCACAGAGTACATATGGCATTATACAGTGTGTTTGTAACAGTTTCTTTCCTGATCCTGACTACAAGTTAAAGGTGTTGTCGCTTATTTGCTATTATAATCTTTTTTTTAGAGACCTAGGGGGACCGATGAGAAGGCAACTTGAGCTGGTATTTATCCATTAAATTATGACATTCTAAGCTTTGAAATAACATTCAGCTTTTATCCCCATACGTGTTTATAGATGTTTCTCCAGGCACCACAGATGAAACTGTGGGATTTTTTTATGTCTGTGTTTATACTAGAACCCTATGGGATTAAGCATCTTTTTAGAAATGCAAAGTCTACCACACTGTTAATCTCCTACTCATCCAAGTCAGTGCTAACTTGTAATTCTTCCATTGTCTAAAACACACAGAACTTCTCTTTATTCCTTGAAAATAAAACTGAATTTTTAGATAGAAGTAATAGAAAATTTGAGGCTTTCATTTATCTTATTTCTTTTGAATAATATTGCCAGGCCCATGGGTTACAAATGGTTGCTTTTATCGTCTTCCTAATTTACTCTTTTTTTTTTCAATTTTCAACAAGAGCACAGTAAGAAAACTCCTGAGATGATGAAATTGGATATAACTGTTTCAGAAATGTTATGCACATCTTGAGTACGTCTGAAAAACTGCTGTTTTGCTATGTTTAGCTTCCCCTTAGTTCTAATGAATCATTTTACAGCTCTAGGCTATCTGCTAGCACTGAAAGACACAGCGAGTGCTGCCATCAAGGATTTTTAAACAGATGACCATTTAAAAATGAACTGATGAAGGAAGATGAGAGAAAAAGCAATGCAATCACGCAGTGATGCAGCAAGCAATTTGCGCAGTCTGATCTGAGAGGCATTTGACAAGCTATTCTTAAGACTTTTTAAGAAAAACAGAAGAAAAAAAAAGGGAGAAGCTGAGGGCAGATTACTTCATGAAAGTATTCTGGACTGTTTTCTTGGCTTTTGAAAGTTGCCTTTTCCACACTGTTTTGGATTTGAAATTCAGTGAATTACAAGAATGTAAGCATGTTAAGTCCCCACTTACACAAATGCCTATTGAAGTATCAGACATGAGTTTTTGATCCTATTCATTTCCAACATAGTCTGACTGTGGGAGACATTCTCAAACTTTTGGGCCAATGTACCACAATTTTGCTTTTTACCCAGCATTGATCATTAACTTTGAAATTGCATCATGGAATCATCGAATCATAGAATGGCTTGAACTGAATGGATCTCAAGTATCATCAAGTTCCAACCCCTCTGGCATAGGCAGGAAATGTTGTAAAAGTGTTGTGTTTTTTTTAAAGGCATTCTGCAGTCTCTCAGAAGATTGTGTGTCCTGGTCACAGAGCTCCCTGTTCAGGAGTGTAGTGTCCCAGTCTGACCTCCTGTACACTTTGTGTTCCATGTGTTAGCATTTGACCATATAATCATCATCTCTGTTTCATTTAGATACTTCTTATTTTCTTACTTAGAAAGTTTATAAAGCTGGGTTGTAAATTGCGTATCTACAAGTAAATATGATACAAGGATGAGCAGGGCTGAAGAACTGAGAAGAGTAATTTGTATGCTTTGATTTGCAGTTGAAGAGAGCATTGGGCATAGCAGTGTACTGTACAGTACAGTGGACAGTAGCTAAGGGAAGCAATACTTTATTCTGTCATTACTGGTGCAACATGTAAGAGACTCCTCTGCATATAACTTGTTTTCTACTCTGTACAGAACTGCACATGCAAGAGCTAAAGCTGATGCTGCGGATCAGGCTGCTCAGGCTGCTCGTCAGGAATGTGATATTGCAAGAGCAGTTGCCAGAGAACTTTCACCAAATTTCTACCAACCAGGTAATTGTAGATTGGTTTTGGTTTGTGGCCAGTCTTTCTTCCTCACAGTTAAATATTAAATATTATTCCATTTTGAATGTTGTCATTTTTTCAGAAACAGTAGTTAGGTAGTGAAGATTGCATGTTGCCCCAGATTTTGTTTTCATTTTTTAATTATTTGTTAATATTGCTTTGTATTTAAAAGTGAAGTGTCAAAAAGTTGGAATCTGGCTTACGGCTTTGGCTTGTTAATAGCTTATTCAAGATGATAGCAACGTAAGACATCAGAGAACATAAATAAACAGAAATTGAGGTTGTTTCTACAGTGTTACTAGGAGAAGGGTTGAGGCTTGTAAGTCTTACAGTCTACATTTGTATCCAGGTTTAAATGTGTCTTTCTTGGGTGACCTTGTTTCACATAGATGACCAGAATTCTAGACAATGCTCTACAGAAGTATTTTGAATAGTAAGACTTTACAGGCTTTAACATAATTATCAGTATGTACCTTTCACTGTTGGAAATCGCTTCTATACATCCTTGTCTTTAGATTCATCATATTAATGGCTCATATTTACTCCCATGATACTGAAATCATTTTCTTTTTTTCATTATTTCATTCTTTCATCGATTGATGAACTTCCAGTCTATAGTAGCAGTTCATCTCATTAGTCACAACTTAAGAAATCCTAATTTTAGTTCATGCTAAGAATCACAGAATCACAGAATGGCCAGGGTTGGAAGGGACCTCAAGGATCATGAATCTCCAAACCCCTGCCACATGCAGGGCCAACCTCCCCATTTAATACTGGACCAGGCTGCCCAGGGCCTCATCCAATCTGGCCTTGAACACCTCCAGGGACAGGGCATCCACAACTTCTCTGGGCAGCCTGTTCCAGGCTAAGAACTAATAGTAGAGACCCTGTGAAAGGAGAACTTGGTTGAAGATAGAAATGATGGTGTTAAAGCACCTGGATTGAAAGTATTTCAAAGCTGCTAAGCCCCTGAGATAAAGAAATGACTAGGGGACTCGAGAAAAAAAGTACATGATGGTATGAAATGCAACACCAAGAAATTCATCAGAAGAAGTTTTCCTTTGTGCTAAGTTTTCTTGAAAATAACTTGTGATGGGAAAATGTAATTTTTCTCCCTAAGCTTAAAGAGCTTTGAGTGATCAGGAGGTATGCTGTCAGTAAGGAGTAAATGTATGTAGCAAATCAACAAAAAAGAGAGAAAATTTAAAGTATGTACACTTTTCTGTAAAGAAGTTGAGCATTTTTCTCTGTCTAAAGAAGTGATTTCTGCATTATCTAAGGTCTAGGTGCATTTGAATAAAAATGAAAATCTTTGATAAAGCTCTCAAATTTCAGATTTTTAATATGAGACACTCTGGGCTATATATCCTAGTATTATACACAATTTATAATTACAGTGAATATTCATAAATCATTGTACCATGACAGTTCTCACTTCCCAATTGCTTTTCTCTCTCATGTTACGTTCATTAAAACATTCATCAAGAACTGCCAAGAGGTTCTAGCTTTTTAATGTGGCTCAAAATGAGATTGAAATGAGAACAAAGTGGTAGGAAGCAAAGTAGCATTCAGTAGGTACGAATAATAGTGTCAGTCTGAATCATGAAGATTGAAGCACTATAGAAATCTTCAAATTTAGTTTGCCAGTAAATAATTACCTTTATATTTGCATATTGGGAAAGCAAATATGATTGGAAAGATCTAAGCCATAGTCTAAGTGGTCATAAGCCTACAAGGAGCTGTTTCATGTAAGCTTGTTCAGCTGGGACTCAGGAAAAATTCACTTCTACTTTAGCTGTGGAACAGATTTGGCTAGTGATTGATAGATGTAATCATGGCATATCTTTGCAGAGTGCTACCCACAAGGCTGTAGGCTTCATAGATTGAACAAGTGTTCCAGTCCTTATAGAAACCAGACTTTACAGGCCTCTTTATTACCAAATAAAACAAATTTTGAGAAATGCCAGCGCTGACCTGTTTGTTTCCTCCAGGCATCACTAAACTTGCAGATGTGACAGAAAAGAGCATATCAGGACAGGAAACAAATGAAACCTGAGCCATTTTCTCATTCAAAGGAGTCATCTAGGGACAGTTTGAGATTTTCTTTGCTTAGAGAAAAATAATAAAGGCTGTTTTGTGTCACTTGTTAAAGCCTAGAGAAGGGTAAATGACTAATGGAAGATGTAATAGAAAAGAAAGGCTTTTGGCACCCAGTAAAAAGGGGGAAGATTGTTCTAATCTTGAACAAGTTTAATGGATGTGACTGACCTATTTATGCTAAATTCTACAAGGCATCTCTAGCATTTACTCTCGTAAACATGCTGTCAGGAGGTAAACTAAAGTATGAACTTACACAGGCTGGACAGCTAAGCTGTAATTGTCTGTATGCATGCATATCCTGCAGCAAATGTATGCTGTTCTTTCATTCAGTTTGAATGAACAACATTTGATTACATGAAAGAGGGTAAAACTACTTTGCTGCAGGGTAAGAGTCTGGGCACTTTACCATGGAGCAATTTAGCTCTGAAAATTCAAATCTGAATTGTTTTATGGCAGATTATTTGTCAAGCCAACCAACTGCTTGAAGAATACACACTGCTCACCAGAAAATTCTTCCAGCCTTTGACCTCCTGAGCAAGGCATGACAGCAATCAAGAAGCAATTTAACGGTTAACCCATGCTAGAAAGGTGAACAGAATTTTAGATGAAATATATGAACAGCAAATGAAAATTTTCTAGTAAAAAGAATTATTAGTATTTAGCACCATTATTTCCTATAATGTTAGGGTACTGTTACAGAAATAGTATTACTTGACATTTTGCAATAAAGTTTCAGAAATAAAAGCATTTCAAGCAGTAGGAAATTTTTGCTGATTTCTAAAAGAAATAATGTCTTAAAGAGAAACTGTGTTTTAAACTTTCTTTTGACCAGATGTTGATGTCTGTAATCGCGGAAGAAAGCACATCCTCCCCATCTTCCTTCTCTCTGTCGTCTCCATCTCCTCCAGTTCACTAAATGCAAACTCCATATGGACAGGAAGGAGAGATTTCTTCCTGGTGCTAATTAGCAGGAATGTTCTGGCTAAGCGCATGTGGATGGGGCCAGATATTTTTATTTAAGAAGCCAATTACAGTGAACATTTTTCCCTGATTAGAGTTACCAGCTATGCTATCAGATTGTGCCTTAAAGGGTAAGGAAGCTCACTAGTTATTCTTAGTCATATAAAAGTCTCTTCAGTTTTTTAAGTGATTTGACATACTGCTACATCATGCTCATGCAACTGTAGTCTAGATTCTTCCTGTGACACCTCTTCTCTACAATTTATTTCTTCCATCTTCTTTTTACTCTTCTGTATACAGCAGTATATAAAGGCACTGGAGTTGTATCTGATAGTCAAAGTAATAAGATGGGCTAAAAGAAAAGGTGGGCTTCAGGCATTATTCTTGTTCTGTTCTTTATTTTTCTAACTATTGGCTAGCCACATGACTTCCAAATTTATCACCAGTCCTGTCAAGTCCCAGATATGGGTGTCCCCACTCATATCTTTTGTCCTGCTCAGTGTGAGGACTTGGCTTTATGCACCCATCCTGCCGCACTGACAAACACACATGCTTGGCTCAGCTTATTCCCCAGACCTCCTGAATGCACCTGGGACAAAGAGCAGGCTTGAGAAAAAGCAAAGGGAGGAGAGGTTGCAAATGAACCAATTTCATTTTTGCAGGATGCTTTCTCAGTTTTTCCAACATGATTTTGAGTGACATAATGAAGTGACTTACTTAGGGGGGGAGGAAAGAGCTCATAATTAACTGTTTAAGCTAATAACAGAGAGCCAATTTCCTGTAGAGAAGTAAAGCAATTGAAATCACTGTAATTTTGTCAGGCTTCTATTACGTATTGAACTAGTTAATTTACATCTAGATACAACTTGTGGATTGCCTAGTAAAGGCTATCAAATCTGTCTGCAAAGCTAGCTGGACTGACAAGTACGTTCTTAAAAGCTAGCCTTAGGTATACCTCTCTGAGCTGCCACTGTGGGAAGTATGAAAGAAAGAGGTCGGTGCTACCTTAGAGTTTTAACTGCCTCCTTTTTCCTGTTCAAAATTACTCGTTTGCCCCCAAAAAGAAGCACTAACTCCAGGACACAGAACTGGACCACTACTGTCCTGCTCCATTAAATTTCTATGTTGGTCTGTCCAAGTGTCCATTAGCCAAGGACAAGATGAATTAGGGTCTATCACATGGGAGTATTATCACAGCAGTCAACATTTCCATTATAAACGCTATTTATAACTGCATCATAAATATTTGTTCCACGTTGAAGTTCAGCTCAACAAAATCTATACTGTGAAAACGTTTCTTATGGTGTGAAATTTCACTAGCGGATGGTAATTTATTTTAAAATTTTATTACACTGGTGCATATTTGAATTATATTGAAAAAGGGTCCTGTTTTTATTTTTTGAACACATGATATGGGTTACACAGTGGTTGTTGGTGCATTCAGTTTTACTTGACCACATCAATTAACACTTGTTGCTGACCTGTGGGCTCCTTCGATTTTGTTTTTACAGGAAATGGAGAGTTAGAGATGTATTTCAGAGGAAATGGCAGAACGCTAGAAAAAAAAAAAAAGATCTTTACAGCTGCATTCCGTATTTGCCAGTGCCTAACATGCAGAACATTTTATTCCATGAAAATCTGCAATACAGCAGAAGTAGAGAGAGTTTAGAGACAGAGAGATCTAAAAAAGATTTATGGGATTCAGATTATAGACCTGAGTAATGTAGACAAATGTAGTACTTTTTAGAATGCTGTAGAAGATCACGGTGAGAATTTGGAGAGGGTGAAGATTTCTGAATGTTAGTCTTGTTACAGCTATTTACTCAGATCTTAATCTAAACAGGTGGCAAATCTGGAGATGAAACATAACCAGCATAGAATTGGTAGTTTTGGGGTTTGTTGTTTTTTTGTTTTTTTTTATGAGATTA